AGGAAGGATTAACACCCCTATAACGCCCAAAATTAGTACTTATTAATTATAAATTGTCTCTATTATTGGAAATTTAAGAATTCAAAAATATATTTAATTCATAATCCAGTTATTTCAAATTTATTAAAAATATATATTAATTTATATATTTTTTATATTTAAATAAGATATTTATTTACTTAAAAATATCATAAAAGGGCTTCTAGGTGCTTTAAGACAACTCATTTCTTAATATTAAAAAATAAATAAATATTAATAAAACATTTCTCTAAAAATAATTAAATTAAATTAATATATAATTTATAAAAATAGGATATTTATTTATTTAAGAATATCAGAAAATGACTTCTAGGTGCTTTAAGACAGCCCATTTCTTAATATTAAAAAATAAATAAATATTAAAATATGATTATTTTTCCTAAAAGTAATTTATATAAAATTAAATTTATAGAATTTTTAAAAATAAATAAATATTATTTATTATATATATTTATATGACTAAATAATAATAATAATTAAATATATTAAAAATAATCATATAAAATTAAATAATAATTAAATAGTGACTAAAATAAATAAAATTAAAATTATAGTATTAAAATATAAAAATAATAAAGCTTGTAAAATAAATGAAAGTATTAAACTTAGTGACTAAATTATAACATATTAAAATGAAATACACTAATCAATAATTAGTTATTTAAAGTTACAATGGCTAAACATGCTATTTTACCAATTTATTAATTTAGTGACTAAAATAAATTTATATCAAATTCGAATATCAAATTAAAATAAATTAAAACATGTTGTTTAGGATTAAAATATTAATTAATAAAAGTACAAGGACTAAATCGATTATTTGCCTAAAATATCTATAATTTTATGTAAAGTACTAAAATAAATAAAATTAAAATTAAGAAACCGAATTAAAAGTCCCAATATTTGATTTCGGTGACTAAAATATAAAATTACAAAGTTGTGAGTACTACGGAAAGGGTTTAACATTTTATAAATTACACATAGACCCCTCCCCAAAATGACTTCATTCGGGGAGGAGTATTTAAACCCTAAACTAACCGACCTTAAAGTTATTTTCTTCATTTCTTCTTCCCCTCTCTCTCTAAAAACCGAGAGAAAAAAATTCTCTTTGGCTTCTCTCTAGCATCCCTCACCGGAGGGAATTCCGACACCGATCGCCGCCGCCGACCACCGTGAATGGTGGCCGGAATTTCCAAATCTCTCTAAAATATAGATCCCGACTCCCTAAATTATTTGTCAATATATGATTGAAATGTTTTATTTATGAATTTTAAATTATTTAATTAAATAATTTTTCTATCCAATCAGGTGGTGACATGTGTCACCACCCATGGAAGTGAAAATTAAACAGACAAATTTGCACTCCAAGGGGATCGAACTAGGGTGGGGAAGAATAGAGCATGCACCCAAACCATTGGGCCAAAAATCCCAAATGGTTTAAAGTTACAACAATTTTTATTTGTCTTTTAAAGATTTGCTAAGGATGAAAAATTAAACAAATTATTTGTTTAAATAAATTATTAAATAAATTAAATAAATTATTAATGACTAATAATTTTCAAATAAATTTTGGTTCGATTAACGGTTAAAGAAAAAAATTTGGTTAATTCAGTTCGGTTAATCGAACCAAATTTTATTTGAAAATTATTAACCGAACCGAATTAATTTGAAAATTATTAACCAAACCAAATTAACCGAATTAATCGAAGCAAAAATTTGGCTAATTTGGTTTGGTTAATCGAACCAAAATTTATTTGAAAATTATTAATCAAACCGAATTAATTTGAAAATTATTAACATAACCTAATTAACTGATATTTTTTGAAAATTATTAACCGAATTAATTGAAGCAAAAAATTGGTTAATTCAGTTTGGTTAATTTGAAAATTATTAACCAAACCAAATTAACCGATTTTTTTAAATTATTAATCGAAGCAAAATTTTGGTTAATTCGGTTCGGTTAATCGAACCAAAATTTATTTTGAAAATTATTAACCGAAACGAATTAATTTGAAAATTATTAATTGACCCGAATTAACCGAATTTTTTCTTTAACCATTAATCGAACCGAAATTTATTAGAAAATTATTAACCGAACCAAACAAATTTCGGTTAATTTGGTTAATTTTCGAATTAACGTTTTTTTTAATTTTCTAATTTATATAAAAATTGAATATTTTTAATTAAAAAAACAATTTACAATTAATTTAAATAATAGTTTAATTAAACAAATAATTTGTTTAATTTTTTATCATTAACAAACTTTTATAAGTCAAATACAAATTATTGTAACTATAAACTATTGCGGATCTTCCCAATGTTTTGGGCGCCTGCTTTATCCCCCACCAAACCCTAGTTCAATTCCCTTGGAGCGCATGTTTGTCCCTTTAATTTTCACTTCCATTGAGTGGTGACACATGTAACCACCTGATTGGATAGAAAAATTATTTAATTAAATAATTTAAAATTCATAAATAAAACCTTCATATAATATATTGACATATGTCACGTTTTAATTGGATAGTTAAATTTATTTAATTGAATTAAAATAGTGACTAAATTGATAGAATATGTAAATATTAAGGACTAAATATATAATTATGCCAATTAAGTTTAGTGGACATGTCACCGCCTCTGTTAAAAATTAACAGACGATGGTTTGATTGAATCAATTAAATAGTGGGTGGTCTTATTGATTCAATTGAAAGTTCAGTGGTCACATTGATTTTTTTACCATAGTTTAGTGGCCTCTCGTGTAGTTTACCCTAAAATTTATTGGGTCTTACTATTTTAAATGGGTCTAGAGAGATTGAGCTAAAAATAAATGAACAAACATAAACGAACGAAAGTAAACGAACATATTATCAAACGTTCATGAATGTAAATGAACGAACGAGCCCTCTGTTCGTGTTTGTTCATTTAATTAAACGAACATAAAATCTTGTTCATGTTCATTCGTTTAATAGATAAACGAACATAAATGAACTTCCCACTGAACAATTCCCTGAACGTTCGGTTCGTTTACAGTACTATTACGTAGAGATTAAATAATATACACTAGACACATAAAAAATCAATTAATAAGATTAGGATATATTAATTTAAAAATAATTTATCTATTAATATTATATTCTTTTTGTTTTAATTCATTTTGCTAAAATAATATATCATGTATGATATATATAATATTTACATATTAATAATTTTTAAAAATAAATTTTAATTTTAATTTTAATTTTTTTATTTTATTTTATTACTTTCAATTTCTTATATTATGATTCAGTTTGCTATATAAGTTGCAATGTTTAGTTTCAACTCTAAACTTATTTTTTTAGGAATTGAATCATTATATGGTGATTCAATATCTCAATTAGTACAAATACAATTATAAACTTTTAGGGATTGTGAGTTCAATTGATTTTAAATGTATAACTTTCTCCTTGAATGAGTATAATTAATTTGATGTATTAACATTAAATTAAGATAATTTCATCAATGAATTCAAAAGATTTAATCTTAAATCAAACATGAATGTATTAGATTCAAATATATTTTTTTCCAGTAAGCTCACAATTCTAGAGACAAATCCAATAAAAAATTTTTGGAAAGACCTTACCAATTTTCTTTTAAGAAAAATTACAATTTTAAAAGCAAAACTCAAGCTGGGTCCAATTAATTTTTGCTGCCTCACGTGGGGTCCTTGAGTAGGCCCACATCGCTTCGAATATAATCTAATTCCTAGCCAGCCCAAGTGTCCATAGGGTTGCTCTGATAATTTTAAATATTTCTATAATTCTTATTTATAATTTATTTTAGTCATCCTAAATTTTATAAATTGATTTTCCATAAAATTTTATGTTATATTGTTTTAATATAAATTTGATAAAGACAATTAGTGAAAAGTCTTAAATATATAAAAGAATATCGTTAAACATAATAGGAGTAACATTTAATACTCCAAACACGTAATATATCTACTTGTCTCAAGGTGGACCACCATCTACCGAATAAAAATGTGTTTCCTTCAAGTGCACCACCGCCATAAAGATGCTCCCCATATCACATTAATTCTACATTGTTGCGCCGCTTAATTCCAATTCTTCAAGCTTCTATCCCATCCAATCTTCCATTCCCATCTTAATTAACTACTCAAATGCAGCTGCTTGGCTTTTATGAAGCAGGTGGAGCAAAGAAAAAAAATTAAGAATACATATGTGTGTGCATATACAGCTAATTAATATTGTTGAGGAGCAGTGCTGTGTCTGTAGGGTTGACCACCATTACCGTCAAAGTGTTCCCTTCCATTGCTGTAGCAAAGCAATAATTTTCACAAAAATGGTGTTCCCTTCATTCTGCCCACATCTCCCAATTAATTTTCCACCAGAATCCACATACAGTACCATCTTTAAAACAACCGAACTTGATCAAAATAGATCACCATATCCTATAGTACAAAAACTCTACCTTCAAGGATTTTTTTTCTTATATCAATTTATAATATATCACTTAAATTTTAGGGTAAACTACCACTTAACTATATCTTTCTTATTTTGAACATCGAGCTTTTAATTTTATCCATAAGACCATGTAACTATTTAATCGTTGCCAATCAAGCACTAACCGTTAATATTTTATAGAGATGCTGACGTGATAATTAATAAAATTGATATAGTAATACATTTGGTCTTCATTATTTACAAATGGTGACACTTTTCACCTCATAGTTATAACATAAATCAATGATGAATAATTATTAAATGTAGTGATAATAGTGTCATAATTTTAGTATTAGATTGAATTTTGAATAAGGGTAAAAGAAAATGTAAATTTTGTTAGATCGAGAGAGAGGATGCTAAACGGTACTCAAACATTATATCTTTAAGGTACCTAATCACTTTAATTTGGAATTTGAGTAATTATGTACGAGGACGTATTCGTTCATTGAAAAACAAAGGGTTAGAAGACCTCAAATTCTCCTATTGAAAAACAAAACAAACTATAACTAAAAACAGTCTAATTCGTTTGCAATAAAAATGAACAGAGATAATCAACACAGACACAACTCCTACACTTTCCTTTTTGTTTTGTACATGCACATTGTAAATTCCCTGGTTAATTATTAGGCATTTTGTTCTCTAACAACTAATTAATAATGTCAGAAACTAGAGCCAAAGTGCTCCGGCCTCCTTGAGAAGTGGCACTAAGGTTCCATTAATATGGGATGCCATGACTCGGTCCATGGAACCGATCAACTTCCCTCCGATGAAAACAACCGGCACCGCCTGCGAGTTGCCAAGCAGCCTCATTAATGCGGTCTCCATGTCTTTCCCTCTAGGGTCCTGGTCCAACTCGTACACCGTAGGGTTCACTCCCATTCCACAGAATAACCTCTTCACAGCATGGCACATGCAGCAGCTGCTCAAACTGAATATCACCACCGCGCTCTCCGACGCCAGTTTCACCACCCTCTCCATCGGATCCGACCCTATGCTCCTCGTCGGCAAATAGAAACCCCAAGAATCTCCTTGATAATGCATTATTCCCTCTTCTAAACAAAACACACTTTTTTGGGTGATGAAGTTAGTGAGAAAAGGTAAAATTGGTGAGGTAGTGAGGACGGTGTCGAAATAACATAAGATGAGGGCTTTTATAAGGATGAGAGAGGGCATTGTTGTAAATAAAGAGAGGGTTTAGCCAAGGTTGCAGCGCATGCGTGGAGGAGATGGTGGTAATTGGCTTAGGAATAGGATTCTTGTCCGGAGCAAGACGACAAAGCATGCATTTACACTCGTAGTGGTCGAACAGGAAGCAAAGGTGTCAGTTGTGGAAGGCGGCTAGGGGTAATTTGTCTACTCTACAGAGTAAAGACTCGGTTCCAACTTTTTAATACTAATTACTGCCTTTTTTATTTGGCAAATCAGACATGAACAAAAATATTACTAAAACGTAAGTCTAGAAGTGTGTGTATTATATTTAAAAGTAGATTTTAATTTTTATTATAAAAATTAATATTTTAGACTCTTAAAATTATTTAAAATTTTAGTTTACTCTATTATAGAAAGATATATTTTAATCTTTATACATTTTAAAAAATAATTTATCTAAAATTTTAAAATTATAATTAATTGATTTTAATATTTTAAATTTAAATACCATTTTCCCTCTAAATAAGATTATATGCCTTGTATATAGGGAGAATCATTTCATCAAAATTCGACGAGTTTTGAACTAATCTATCATAGTTGATATTTTATTTTAAAAATTTAAGATTGAATTAGGTTTTTTTAAGGGTGAGGTCGGGTTCTGGTTTATGTAAAAAAATTAATTGACATAATATTATAATTATCCCTTATACATGTTTAATGATATTTACAATAAAGCTCTTTATAATTTAATTTTTTTTTTAAATTAAGTCCTTATTTTATCAAATAAATATAATTTTTAAATATATATTGAGATCGGGTCAGGTTGAATAGGGTTTGACCTAAAAATTGAGTTGAGTTTCGAGTAGGTTAGATCCTCTTAAATGCAGATCAGATCAAATACTGATGGATATGATTAATTTTCGAGTGAAATTCGAGTGAAGGCAAAAATCCGACCCATTGCTATCCTACTTGTATGCATCAATTATTAACCTCGGAAAGTTGTGTGCTTCAACATTGATTTTCAATTTGTAAACTTCTGCTTAGCTACTAAGCTTTCATTTGAGTGTGCAAATTACGTGTTTTGAATTTCCAATGCAAAAAGAAAAGAAAAAAGCGAGAGCTATAGAGTTAGTATAACAGTAGCAACAGTGTTTCTTCCATTTGCAAGTCTTTCTATACTGTGGATCAAGAACAGAAGCCGCAACTTTATTGATATATCTTTCCTAGAGAAATACTGTTTGCATGTATAACACGTTGGGTGTTATGTTTTACAGTCAAAAAGATCAATCTTATCCCTTACCATTACTTTCTTCTTTACAATCTTTTGTAATGTTTTAATCAAACAACAGATTTCCTTATTTTGAATTAGTCTAAGAAACTAAGGATTCCAAACTCATCAGCATATAGTAGTGTTTTTTATCTGTTTATCTAGAATTAGATTCTAAAAACTTTGTTCAATAATATGGACTTACCTAAGATTTTATGTTAGAGAACGTATTTATAAAATTCTAAAGACGAAAACATATTATCAATTAAAATGATAAACAATTAAAAATATATAATAATTTAAAATTTTCAAAGTAATTCTATCCTGTCCGGGTCATCCCGAAAGGGAGTAACAATGAAGAAAAGGCAAGCCCAGCACATATTATAAATGATAGTAAATGATTGTGAAATTAATAAAACTAGATGCATGGTATAAAAGAAGCAGGCAAGCATTTTGCTTTAAATATTTTAGCTTTCTGCCAACATGTTCACCTAAAGCAGAGACAAAGCCGCAGTTGCTACATAGTATTAAAAAAAAAAAAGAGAGTTTCAGAGTTAAGGCGTGGCCTGCTGCACCAACAGGCAATCTTGGGGCGGAGGGTACGGTTTTGCGCCGAATACCGGCTTAATTTCAGGTTCCTTTGTTGTGGGTCGGGCAGATCCGACCACATTCTTTACTTTATGTTGTTGCTGTTTATATCACATTGGTTTTTTTCCTCTCACGGTGATATTAGCAGCCCAGCATTCAAAGCATGTTTTTTAATGAAGAAGAATGTTTTTAGCAGTCGAGCATTCAATTCTCCTTTTTAATGAAGAAGAATGTTGTTGGACCTTGCTAAGGTCGGCTATTCGTCAATTAATTTTCATTTATATAAAATTATTGAGCTTCATAAATGAATTTGGATAAAGATAAGAGTTTATTTTAATTACTTAATTTAAATTTTAATGTTATTCAGATTCAAGATTTAGTGTTAATTAAAATTAAAAGTAAAAAAGAATAGGAGTGAATAAAAAAAATAAAAAGAAAATAATTTTTGAACGTGACTGATAAGAAAGAAATCTGATGAAAAAGAAAATGAGAGCGATCATTTTCTATCTTCATGTGTACAAACAAAACATTCTAATTTAAAAGGAAAATTAAGAGATGTGAGTTAGTTTAAAATATGTATTTTTTAAAAGTTTAATTTTATTCTCTTTTATTTTTAACTATATTAAGCGATACATAAAAATTATACTTTTATTAATATTATCATCCTCCTTATCAAGCGATAAATAGTATTGAGAGAGGAGTCAATAATGCTTGTGTACGAGTTATTTAAAAAAAATTCAATATTAGCAAAGAGGATAAATGTTGATTATTTAGGATTGTGTATCTTATCGAGGAGGATGGATATAGATTATATTTGTATTGTGTCGAGACTTGACGATGATATAAGATCTAAGTATTTATAGATTATAAAATTATCATTTTAAAATTTTATAAATTCATTTTTTATTTAAAAACTTACATTCCTAACATAAAATTATGCGTCCATCCTAGTGATCAAACTAAATTCAAGCAAAAATATATAAACATTTAATTTTAATTAATGAAGTTATATGCATGCAATGCTTCCTTTCCAAGGTAGAAATTAATTAAGGTTTTATTATTTATATTTTTTAACCTCAATGTAATAATAATCTCTATCTAACATATTTTCTCTCTCCACTTGGCATGCTTTGTACATCAATCTCAATAATATTCCTTGGGGAAGTTCTGATGTGAGGCGGTTAAAAAACGACTAAAAAAAGGTGTGATAGGTTAAACAAGTGACCGGTTAAAAATGGCTAATAATGTAAACGGTAAAAAAATAGGCGCTATAAAAACAAGATGGCGCACGATTGCAATTCTCTCTCGGCGTACATTAGCAGGACTAATGGAAACTGATTTGTTGCAACTGCGTTCCCGGTGATTCGCTCGTTTCTTCTCTGATTTTCTTAATCGTCTCTTTATTCTTCATCAGTGTTTCAAAGTTTGCCTGGGTTCTGATGGATTGGCGAAAGATTTTCTCATGCTCTGCTGGGATTCAGCTTTGATACTTTCCCCCAAATTTGCGTGATGAAACGCCGACTGTTCACCCACCTCCTGAAGTTTTCGAAGAAGGAATTACATAATGAAGACTCTCACTTGTTGGGCACTTCCTTGGAGCAGCACCAAAGTTCTCAGCACTACAGCAAATTATAGAAAATTTGTGGAAAAAACCCTTACAGGGTACTACGGTGCAGACCAGCTATGCAGGTAATAATCTTTACCTCTTCTCTTTTAATTCAGAGAAAGCTAGGGATTGGGTTATGGAGAATGGACCTTGGCATATTTTCAATAAACCCTTAATTCTACGTAAATGGGAGCCTAACATGTCTAAGTTAGATTTTGATCTGTCTAGAATTCCATTATGGGTGCATTTATATAATATTCCCCTGGAATTGTTCTCGAACGAAGGCTTGAGCTACATAGCTAGTGCAATTGGCTTTCCTCTTTCTATAGATTCTGTCACAACATCCAAAACTAGGCTTGAATTTTCTAAAGTCTGTATTGAGATCGGGGCAAATGATTATATTCCTAGGTATATTGATGTTATTATAAGTAATGGCCAAACAGCTTCAATTGTTGTTGAGGTGCCTTGGATTCATCCTTGTTATAAGAATTGCAACGTGTTTGGTCATAGTACAAAAGGATGTAATCAATTCCCTAGTTCTTATCAAGCTTCTTTACTTGTCTGGAAGAAAAAGGAACTGCAAATCCATCTTCTCTTGCGCTAGAAGTTATTAGTACTGATGATAATCAAATCCATGATCTTTGTAAGGATATTGAAGAAGGGATTAAATCAGGCACTGATTCGCATACTCAAGATAATGTTTTGACTGATTCTAGTACTTTTAATTTCCCTAAAGATTCATCCCTCACTGTTAAAGATCCAGAAACTGCTCTTGTTCATGTTCTTAAAGAAGAATGTAGGTCTTCCGAATATGACATGAAAACGGATTCCTCCTCTAATCCTCTAACAAAAAGGGGCAGGGGTAGGCCTTCGAAATCTACTAAAGCCTTTACAGGATCTTCAAATAGATTTGATTTACTCAGTTCGATTGATGAGACACAATCTTCCTCAGAAAACCTTGTTGATAAATCTCGAGATACTGCTCGGGGGGTAGCTGAGCTGATTAAAGATCCCAAATTAAAAAAAAGGCTCACATAGAAAAACACAAATGAGCATCAGTAAGTAGTAAGGGAGGAGACATGGGCTCCTCGTCACATGGGAAATGATTCTCGTATTCTGGAACGTAAGAGGGTTAAATAACCCTCTTAAACAAGGCAGTGTTCTTAAAAAGGATGCCAAATATAATGTTGCAATTCTCTGTTTGATGGAAACTCGCGTGAAAGTGGATAAATCTGTTAATATTCTTGCTACTTCCTTTACAAATTGGAACTGTATTACCAATTATGATTTTGCGAAGAATGGAAGAATTTGGTTACTTTGGAGAAAAGATATTGCTCTCTCTTTATGTTTTGTTTCGGCTCAAAGCATCACTGTTAAGGGATTGTTTAATGATGTTCCTTTCATTATCACTGCAATCTATGGTGGTAATAA